CCCTCTCCAGCCTCATTTGACTCTGGCGAGGCTTTTGGATTCAAACTCAAGAGGCTTTCGCATCTTGGAATGACACTTTTCGGCTTCATTGACAGCGGTTCGACCGATGCTCAATGTTTGGATGCTTGCTGCAGATCTTGGCTTGGCTTTGTTGCTCTTTGAATATTTTGTGTGTTTTTGCACTAAGGAGAAATTTCTGTGTTGTTGAGCTTTTAGATTTAATTTCTTTAGATTCTTATTTTTAGTCGAGAAGATGATGACATGTGTTGTTGTTCTATAGGATTTTTATTTTTTTATTTGACTATTTTAGTGTTTTTAGTTCTTTTTCTGATTTTATAATTTTTAAGATAATAAGGTTTTTTTTTTTTTTTTTTAAGTTTAGGGATTAAAGTTTGTAGAAATGAGATAGTTTAAGGATCTTTTATGAGACAAAGTTAATGGTTCTCATCCAAAATTCAACAAAGAGCCCATTTATTAGACACTTTTAAAGTTTAGGGATTGTTCATAAGAAAAATTAACTATTGTAAGAAGAAGAAAAAAGCTCAGAGACTATCTATAAATTTCATGAATTTTCCAAAGTAGATAGAATTGACATAAAAGCACCGAATGTAATACATGTTATCTTATCCACATTCTATTTTATTTTCTATATGCCATTGAGTCAAATCACGAACAAGAACGACATTTTTTAGTGAATTTATTGCGATGAAATAGAGCGAGAATCTGTGTTTGGAGCAAGCATTCGTGTCATAGTTCATATCATGGTTCGTGACTCACTATAATATTTTCTCTTATAAAAAACACACGTAAATTGAAAATGGTTCTGAATTATGATTCTGAATTCATAAACCAAATGTCCACTAAGTATCGGTTTTTCAAGACAAAAAAAGTTGTATTATGAATTTTTTAACCTTTTGTGGGAGTCCCATATCTGCCGGTAAACAGAACTTAGGCAATTCCCATTACATAAAAGTCAAGGCTTCTCTTGGTGACAGTCCTCTAAGTATTTGTAAATTATATAAAAAAAAGAATTTGTAAGTATTCGTCAACAACATTCAAGGAAAGCTGAAGCTAATGAAGTACGTCTGAGAGCTACTTTTCTCTGTTTCTATGTTAGTTGATTTCATATCACCGCCGTTTACATCATGGCTGAAAAAATAAAAAGTTAAGCTTTTAATCAATTGAGGATAATTATGAAATTGTCGAAGTTGTGAATTTTTTTTTTCAATGTAATTAATGGTCAATTGAGGATGTAGTCATACCTATATCAGATCAAGTAAATTCCGGTGTTCTCTTTCTTCTATTTTTTTTTTTAAAATAAAAACCCAAAGAACTTACATTTAAATAAAATCAAACGAAACAGACATACACATGAGGTTTAAAAATGAGAGAATACCTTAGCACACTAAGATTAAGTAAATCTACGGCTCTATTTGATAAAACCCCTCTTAGAAGATAAGCTTTTGAGCGATGGAGGGACAAAACACTGTAGCACTAAGACTACACCAAACACCGCCAAGACACCAGTCTAACGGACACTAAAAATAAACAAAGACAATGGGGAGAAAACCCCGGTTATTATAGTAAAAACACACCAAAAACAAAAAACATAATAAACACAAAAGACCCGAAGACCCGTTGTCAAGCGACTAGGAAGGGCAGATGACTTTGAAAGAGATACGGAAAGGTCAAGCAAACGGCGTAAAACCACAAGTGAAACTCACCCTCTGCAGCCATTGCCAGCAATCGAAAACACCACCTCCAAAGAGAAACCCACTGTCGCACCAAACCAAACGCCAAAGGAGCACGGCCATCATCTGGCGAACATGTTGGAGACAACAGCCCAAACGAGCGGCACTCCCTTCCAAAGCATGTCCGATCTGCTCCAAAGAAAGCATTACTCCACATACTGCCACCACCACGTAGAAGACAACGAAGAGACGAATATGGGGACCAAGTTTTAGGGTCGGAAGTCTGGTGACGCGCCCAAAGATGGTCCTAAAATTCTGGCCAACTCACTCTCTTTTTTTCTCTTTTTCTCGTTTCTCTCTAGGGCCGGTTGCGATTCTCCTTCGAGCTTCTTAAAAAACTAAATAAGAATTTTTTATTAAGTAGGAGTTATCTCTTTCTTCTATTTTGCATAAGTATTTTGGTATTTTGCTTTTATTGTTCTTTTATTGTTTAGTTCATTTTTTGTGGTGGATGTCCAAATCAAATCATGTATTTTCCTTACAAAAGAGGATTATCATTTTTGCTATTTTTACAATATCTAGAGAAGTTATACTGAGAGTTATTAGGAGGTATTTTTTGACGTTTTGCTTTGTTTTTCATTTTTAGTCCAAAAAATTCGGGAAAATGAAATAGAACGTTTCTTAAATTCAAAAAATGAGCGGTAATTTGTAATTTTTAAAAATGAGAGGATAAATTGAGAAGGGGAAAATAAAGCTACAGAGGTTTACTAAAATTCAAATGTGTCTTGTTTAGCTGCGGAAGAATCGATAATCAAGGACATTGAAGTTCTGATGCTTGAAATTGGTGGTGGCTCGTGTGACTATGGGTTTGTTGAGTTGCATTTTTAAGTTATAGTAATTTGAGTGTAGATTTTAAGTTGAATTTGAATTATAATTTGAGTTATAGGGTCGACAATATGGGTCACCACACAACTTGAAAACGACACGAATTTCACGGGTTAGGGTTGAGAAAAAAGATGTTCGGGTCAGAATTAGGTCGACCTAAAATTAACATGAAAAACACGAATCAATTTCGGGTTGGACCCGTCTAACCCGAACACAACAGGAAACTCATAAAAAACTAAAAAATACATATATTTTTTATTTTATTATGAACTTTTGATATCATGATAGTTATACTCAAAATCTTATAATATTATTTGTTTAATTTCAATAGATGCTATTTTAATTTAGTGTGTTATGAATTTTAAGTTATTTCTAATATGTAAAAAACTAAGAGCCCGTTTGGTTGGAGGATTCATTCTCTGATTCAAATCATGGTTCATGATTTGCTACAGTATTTTTCTCATAAAAAACACGTAAATCGAAAATGGTTCTAATCTCATGGTTCTAATCCATGAACCAAATGGGTTTTAAATAAAAGTATACAATTTCGTGTCAATTTCAGGTTTATGGGTCAATTTTGTGTCACGGGTCATTTTCGTGTCGTGTCATGTCAACCCGTAAAGTGGTTGTGCCGTGTTCGTGTTGCGGCTTTTAAAAAATTTTGTGTCACGGGTCGTGTTCGGGTTGACTGTAAATTTAGAAAGAAACGATCAAAACACGACATGAACACGATACGTGACACGAATTGCCACCCTTAGTTGAAGTTTTAAGTTGAATTTGAATTATAATTTGAGTTATAGGGTCGACAATATGGGTCACCACACAACTTGAAAACGACACGAATTTCACGGGTTAGGGTTGAGAAAAAAGATGTTCGGGTCAGAATTAGGTCGACCTAAAATTAACATGAAAAACACGAATCAATTTCGGGTTGGACCCGTCTAACCCGAACACAACAGGAAACTCATAAAAAACTAAAAAATACATATATTTTTTATTTTATTATGAACTTTTGATATCATGATAGTTATACTCAAAATCTTATAATATTATTTGTTTAATTTCAATAGATGCTATTTTAATTTAGTGTGTTATGAATTTTAAGTTATTTCTAATATGTAAAAAACTAAGAGCCCGTTTGGTTGGAGGATTCATTCTCTGATTCAAATCATGGTTCATGATTTGCTACAGTATTTTTCTCATAAAAAACACGTAAATCGAAAATGGTTCTAATCTCATGGTTCTAATCCATGAACCAAATGGGTTTTAAATAAAAGTATACAATTTCGTGTCAATTTCAGGTTTATGGGTCAATTTTGTGTCACGGGTCATTTTCGTGTCGTGTCATGTCAACCCGTAAAGTGGTTGTGCCGTGTTCGTGTTGCGGCTTTTAAAAAATTTTGTGTCACGGGTCGTGTTCGGGTTGACTGTAAATTTAGAAAGAAACGATCAAAACACGACATGAACACGATACGTGACACGAATTGCCACCCTTAGTTGAAGTTTTAACTTGAGTTTGTGTTTAGATGTGCACATTTGACTTTTAGTTTGAATTGAGAATCTATTTGAATTTGTGTTTGGGTGGGTCAAAACTTGAATTTGTATTTAGATAGTATTTTAATAAAAACTCAGTGGTGATATAAAATTTTAATAGGTTATAGGGGTGGGGTTTTATTCATCTTTTTGTTGTGAACGCATAAAAAAAATCATCTCAATCGGAATTAAAACAAAAAAGTTATGGTGTTTTTAAGAATAGAAAAAATATTGTTCATTACCTTGAATTTGAGTTTAAAAACTTGAGTTGAAGGGAGAACTTGATCTCAGATTTTAGCCAAAACTTAAGTTTAAACTAAAATTTTATAAAAAAAAAATATGAACTTAAATAAAGTTGTAACTTGAGTTCAAACTTTTTTTGAATTTTCAACCAAAAAAAACATGCCCTATATTTCTCGTCAGACCAGCGACTCTGAGATTTCTTCAATTATTTAGGAATACTTTGGGGATATTTTCTCTTCATGTGATCCTTCTGAAGAGGAGATTTCCCGGGTTACTAATCTGGTTGAGCCTGTAATCTCGACTGAGATGGCTTCAAAGTTGGATGCTCTTTTTACGAGTGTAGAGGTAAAAAAGGCTCTCTCTTTAGTATGGGGAGTAATAAGGCACCAGGACCTGATGGTTTCCATGCAGCTTTCTTTCAACAGAATTGGGAGGTGGTGGGTAGTGATGTTACCAAAGCGCGTCTTCGGGTTCTGAATGACGGGGAGACTATAGCAGGTTGGAATGAGACTTATGTTTGCCTTACTCCGAAGATAAAATCCCCGAAGAAAATTTCTCAGTTTAGGCCTATTAGTTTGTGTAATGTACTTTATAAAATTGTCACAAAAACGCTATCTAATAGGCTTATGAAGATTCTTGATAGCGTGATTTCGGCCTCTCAAAGTGCATTCGTTCCAGGAAGATTGATCACGGATAATTGGATGATTGCTTTTGAGCTAATGCATGCATTGAAGAAAAAGAGTGATGGGAAAAAGGGATGGTTCGCGCTAAAACTCGATATGCATAAGGCATATGATCGGGTGGAGTGGTCTTTCCTTTTAGGTATGATGGAGAAGCTTGCATTTTCTCATCGGTGAACGTCGCTGATCCAAAATTGTATTTCTGTCAGCAAAGTTCTCTTTTCTGGTTAATGGTGTTCCGGTGGGGGGAGGTTCAAGCACATAGAGGTACTCTGCAGGGATGTCTTTTGTCACCATATTTATTTTTATTGGGGAGACACCACATGCGAAACTGACCCAACACACTTCACGAGTCCAATTTGACCAAAAAGTTAACCTATTAGGTCTTGGGCCATTCTATGTATATAAACCACTTCACATTCTCATCCACTTTCTATGTGGGACAATACACACATGCACTTTTCTCAACAATCTCCCCCTCATGTGTGTGTTTACCGAGCTCCCCCTCGAATTAAAGTTTCAAGTAGCCGGCACATCTAAGCATTACACTCCAAACGGGAGCCAACTCAAGCATGTGAAAGAGAGCCGAAACCATGCGAGTCCACCAAAATGCTCCACCATCCGCATAGCTACAGGAACACCAACTCTCCACGGGAGGCAACGTGGGAAACTGGTCCAACACACTTCACGAGCTCAACTTGACCCAAAAGGATAACCTATTAAGTCTTAGGTTCTTCTATATATATAAATCACTTTACATTCACATTCACTTTTTATGTGGAACAACACACACATGTACTTTTCTCAACAATTTTTGATATGTGCCGAAGGCCTTTCTACTCTTATTTGGGGAGCGGAGCAGCGTGCTCTAGAAATGGCCCTAAAGTCAGCCACCTGTTTTTTGCGGATGATAGTTTGGTTTTTGGTAAAGCTAAGCCTGAAGAGGGTGCTGTGATTAAGGAGGTCTTGACGTGCTATGAAAGAGCTTCTGGTCAAAGCATAAATTTCCAAAAATCCTCCATTACTTTTAGCCCCAACGTGGATGTAAATATCAGAGCTGAGATCCAATCTGCCCTTGGACTGAATGCAGCCACATCTCATGAGCGTTACCTGGGGCTGCCAACGTTGGTAGGGAAGAATAAGAAGCAAACTTTTCGTCTAATTAAGGAGCGGGTGGGTAAGAAAATTCAACAGTGGAAGGGGAAGCTGTTTTCTCAAGGAGGAAGAGAGGTTCTGATTAAGGCAGTAGCTTTAGCTATTCCTAATTACACTATGAGTGTTTTTAGGATGCCAAGAAGTTTGTGTGATGATCTTCACCAGTTGATTGCCCGATTTTGGTGGGGAGGGGATGAATTGAAGCGAAAGCTCCATTGGTGGGCTTGGGACAAATTGTGTAAATCAAAAGTTGATGGCGGTTTGGGTTCCAGAGATCTGGAAGTCCTCAACCAAGCTCTGCTGGCTAAGCAATGTTGGAGGCTAATTCAAAAACCGGGCTCATTGGTGGCGAGAGTTTTGAAGGCCCGCTACTTTTCTTCTCATAGTTTGAATGAAGCACAAGTGGGGTATAACCCCTCCTACATTTGGAGGAGCTTGGTATGGGGTTGAGATTTGCTAAGGCTAGGTTTGCGCTGGCGTGTTGGTGATGGTCGACAGATTAGAGTTTTCCGAAATCCTTGGCTGCCTCGTCCAGTCTCTTTAATTTCCTGCCAATTACAGTGGCAAACCAAGCAACTAGTGACTGGAATGTTTCTAATCTCGTGTGTTGAGGATGATATGTTGTTGGGTTGGAATAATGAGCTGTTACAATCGACTTTGTTGGCTGCTGATATAGAAGTTATTGAAAGTATCCGGATTGGGAGATTTAGATGTGCAGATTCTTTAATCTGGCATTATGACAATAAAGGTCGATACTCGGTGAAGTCGGGTTATTTTCGAGCCATGGAGGAAAGGTATGGTGCTCATTCGTCAAGGGGGTGTGCAGATCGAAGATGGTGTTGATTTATGTGGCACTTAAATATCCCCCATAGAGTGAAACTCTTCGTTTGGAGGGTGTTCCATGACATTTTGCCATCCTTACACTCTTTGGGTTGAAGAGGGATTGATTGTTCTCCGGGGTGCAGACGCTGTCTTAATAGTGTTGAAACGACGTTCCATGCATTGATTTCTTGTGATGCAGCCATGCGAATATGGAGCGTCAGTGTGTTTTGGAATCTACTGATTGCTTTCCATGGAGATAAGATGGATTACCTGTTGCTGTCACTGTGGAAATCATTGAGTCGTGATTCTTTGGTTTGTTTGGAAGGATAGAAACGCTTATGTCCATGGAGAGCGTACTCAACAATCTATGGATATTTTACAAGCGGCGAGTGTTTGGTTGCATGAATTTCAGAAAATTCAGTTTCAGCAGACAACAGTGGTGGATAAGCCGGTTTCTCGTGCGCAGCATTGGAGGGCCCCTGCAGAAAACTTGTTGAAGCTCAATGTTGATGCTTCTGTGATACCAGGTCGAGGTCGGATTGGAGTTGGAGGCCTTATCCGAGATTCTTCAGGCTTTGTTCTTGGGGCTTTTTCGAAACTGGTATGTGGGAACTTCTCTCCTTTTGCAGCAGAGTGCTTAGCTATTAGGGAGGGTCTTTAGTTTGCTAAAGATAGTGGCTTGCGGCTCTCCTAATTGGAAGTGATTCTATAAACGCAGTTCGTGCAGTGAATGAGACCTCTCCTTGTGCCGCAGAATTTCTCTTGTTGAATGACATCAAGGTCTTGATGTCTGAAGCTACTGGTGGTACTTGTAGTCATGTTGCGATGACTAGTAATGTGGCTGCCCACACCTTAGCTAAATTTTCTTCCTTTTTAGTTGAAGATCATTATTAGTAGTTAGAAGAGACTATTGTAGCATTTTCTTCTTAATACGATCCTTCCTTATTCCAAAAAAAAAAAAAAAAAAAAAAAGAAGGTACTCACTATAATTAATTTTTAAGTTAATTTTAGATTAAAAATTTCGACTTCTTTTTTGGCAAATACGTAAATTACGACACACGAAATATCGCGTATTTTCCTTAAATATAAATATATATATATATATATATATCGCGTTCTATCATGTCTTTCTTGCTTTAAGCAATGCATATAATGATAGTGTAATTTTCTGTTTGTTTCGAAAAAAAAAAAAAAAAAAAAAGAAGGTACTCACTATAATTAATTTTTAAGTTAATTTTAGATTAAAAATTTCGACTTCTTTTTTGGCAAATACGTAAATTACGACACACGAAATATCGCGTATTTTCCTTAAATATAAATATATATATATATATATATATATCGCGTTCTATCATGTCTTTCTTGCTTTAAGCAATGCATATAATGATAGTGTAATTTTCTGTTTGTTTCGCAAACTTTACTCATAATCATAACAACAAAAAAAGCTTACGACCAAACAACGCATCATGAATTAATTAATCCATACCTGAGAAATAACCCCAAGAACTCCAAGCGAAACCTTGGCCGCGTTTAGCTCTTGATCACCGTCATTAAGCCTCCTAACTTTGACAAATCCGTCTTCAGCCCCACCCGGACTAACAATGGTAAGCCCAACTACATAGTCATGGACAGAACTTCCCTTGTCCCACAATGTACTGCCATGAGCGCCCGTGCCCAAAAGCCCTCCCACCGTCAAGCCCCACCAATATGGCGCGTAGGACAATGCCAGACCCGCCGTTGCAGCCTCACTAATCAGCTCCCTAAGCGTCACCCCGCTCTCGACCGTCATCGTCATCGCCTTAACGTCGATGTTCAACACGCGGTTCAGAAGCTTGGTGCTTATGAGAAGGCCTTCTTTGCCTCCGGGGCAAGCCAGCTTTGGAATGCTGTGAGAGAAACGCGTCGCTGCCTTCATTTTCAATCCGTTCCTGGTGGCGTTGGCGATGACGGCGATTAGCTCTTCCTCCGTGGCGGGGTAGGCTGCGCTGCCTGCTCGGCAGATGCTCCGGTCGGGGAAGGCACCGTAGGAGTTGGTGATGGTGCAGTTTGTGTTGTTGGGTGAGGAGCACTTGACGGGGTCCTCCGGAGGAGTGCAACAAACCGCTAAGAAGAAGAGAAAAAGAATGTTTGATTGCAGGATTTGCCTTAACAATGACCTTGTAGAAAATAACATCGGCATATTTTGGTCCATTGTGGTTGTTGGATATTGCACATAGCAAGTAAATTGTGCGCATAAGAATATGACTCTCCTATATATATTAACACTCGTAGTTAAGTGGCTTGAGCAGGAATTAATAAGCCTTCTTTCATTTCGTTAGTTTAAATCACAATTTAAATTTTTTATTACAGTATTTTCTCTTAAATATAACCCGTTTAACATCAATTGCACTTCAATTGATTAGGCTTCAAGGGCAAAACAAGTCAATGAACCACTTGGTTAAATGACATGAAACAGGTCGGTTGTTACTTGAGTACTTGTTAGGATTTGCAAACTGCCTTATATTATATTATATATATATATATATATATTAGTTACGTTAATTCTCATTTTAAATTGAAATTTTTGATTCAAACAGATGAAATAAATAGATGCAAACATTTTTTCAATTAATAATAAGACCATGTAATCTTGACCATATGTGGGGTGAGCCCATTGGCCTGGATTAATTCGTGGCACTCATAAATAATGTGGCTCAACTAGTACTCGACCTTGTGATTAATGGATCAGCGGCTACTTTTGCTTTAGCTTTTTTTGCTCCTTCCCTCCTTCCATTCCTTTCCTTTCCTTTCCTTTTTTTTTTTTGTTTTTTGTTTTTTTGTTTTTTTGTTTTTTTTTTTGTTTGCTTAAATTTTGCTGTAGCTTGAAATCATGGTGTTTTGTTTCCTTTACAAGCACTGGACTTATAATTTCAATATCACCGTCATCGTCTCCACTTGTCCCAAGAAACTGTAGTAACGTGTCCTTTCTTTCCTTGCAAGAGTTTCAATCTTGCAGTTCCCTCTTCTTCTTCTTTTTTTTTTTTAAACTTCAGAGTGAATAATGTTACAAGGCAATAATGATATTAAGCACTACCCACTAATAAAATATGAGTCTCATAATATAAGGTTAACAAATCAGACTCTCACACTACTATAATTTGTGCTATTTATGACGATAATTGTCATCACAAATAAATAAATATTTATGGTGATATGTCGTCACAAATATTTTCATAAAACTGAAAAAATATAGTCATCGCTAAAAACTCACGCGTCATCGCAAATATTTACTTGGCGGTAGATCTTATCTGGCACGAACTTTTAGCGCAAAAATAACATTATTTGTGACGACAGCGTCGACATGTCGTCGCAAATAATTAACTATTTGCAACGAAACATGTCGTCCCAAATAAAATTTAATTTATTTATTTTCTCCCGAGCAAAAATGATTATTTTGACGGGTGACAAAATTTTCTTGTGATGACATTAATGTGTGTCATCGCAATAAGTGATTTTGTATTCCCTCAGTAAAATAACAGGCGGGGAAATTTAGCGGGTCCCCAAAAATTATTTACGACGACATTATAGTTGTCGTCGCAAATAATAATTCGAGAACCTTCCTTCTAAACCCTAAATAATTTAGTTATATTTGCGACAACATGTGTCGTCGCAAATAATGTAAGTGTCGTCGCAAATAATTTTAAGTTATATTTGTGACGACTGTTGTTGCAAAAAACTCTGTTATATGCCCACGGGCAGAGCCTCCTCTTCCTTTTTTTTCGATCGGCTTCTCTCTCTCTCTCTCGGCCTCTCACCAGTTTTCTGACCCCAAACTCTCAAAATCTTCTTGTATTATCTTCAAAATCAACAATATTATAAGTTTTATTTGTTTTTTCATCCAAAAAATCCCAAAATCTCACCGCCAAAATCCGCCACCGTCGAACTCTGCCGCCACCGCCCTTTGCCCCTGTTTATCTTACCATTTTCAGCCCCCGTTTCAGTGGGTTTGAATTTTGTAAGTTTTTCTATAATTATTGTATTTTTTAGTTTAAAATATATGAGTTTTTTGTTATTTGAATTGTTTATAATTATGGATTATAAATCTTAAAGTTTGATTTATAGATTTTAGAATTAGTATATAATTTGAAATTTGGATTATAGATTGAATTTTAGAGTATGAATTTTGAGATTGTTGAAATTTGATATTGAGATTGCTGAAATTTTAAGATTATAATTTGATTTAGGTTGAAATTAAAAGTTTTGATAATTGTTCTGGGTGGCACATCTTGTAGTTATGGTGTGATGAAATCTTTTAAAAACTGTTTTTTTACAGGTTTGAATTTTTAGATAATAAGAAAAATATGTCGCTATGATGCCGAACTTTTATTAAAACCTATTAATTTTAAGAATTTAATTAATAAGAATTAATTTTATTAATAGAAAGAAAATTTAAAATTAATTATAAACATTATGAGTGCAACAATAAAAAAATAACTTGTTCATAAAATTTGACAAAACTTATAATTTGATCGGCCTGATATCGAAGCAAATACTGTCACGTCTAGCGTCGACGCATACTTGCGGGACAAGTCGCCCGCTGAAGATGAAGATGACTTTATTGACGATGGTGATGATGAAACTGTGTTTGACTATATTGAAGATGAGCTCGTCGATTCTGAAGATGATGACGACGTAGAGACATTCGTAGTGACGATGAATAGAACCAAACTAGTTAATTTATATTTATGAATTTTTTTTATAAAATTTTTAACAAATTGCGTACCAAATAAAGTAACAAATAATTTTTTTTACAACACAGCGTCTCAATGTCTGGCCCAGCAGCTACATGTGCCAGCTCTGCTGGAGGATCACAGCCTCCACCTAATCTGACGACATGCCCGGCACATTGTCAGTCAGGTATTATACGCTATAACACATACTCTCAAAACTTGTTACTTGTCGAACTCTCTATAATCAAATTTCGTTATTTTTATTTTCTTACAGTTTCGGAGTCGACATCTCAACTTCGGTCTGGTCATGGAGTACCTATAGGTCGAGATATAGTGGAGAAAGTACAAAAAGATGTGAAGCTTTTTGTCTTGTTTGACGAGACAGGTTTGTGGAAGGCAATTGGCAAAAACGCCAAATATTTTGACAGTGTTGTCAGCTTGCACACAAGAGATATATGTGACCCACACTACAATGCCTGGAAGGATGTGCCTGCGGAGCGCAAAAGGAAGATTCAAAATTGCATGCCGGTATCTATTTGAAACAAAATTTGTTCTAAAAATTTTTAATTGTGGATACAATAAATAAGATTTATTTGTTGATTTTTTAATGTATTCCAAGATTAGTTTAACCTCGACTACGACCGCGACAACGGCATCATTAGAGATGTAGTCAACCGTGAAGCCAGTAAATGTTATAAGGACTGAAAGACTACCTTGCACAAATACTTTCAGAAGATAAGAGCAGCAAAAAATGAGTATTTTGTCAGGTAAAATCCTCTTAAAAACTTGAAGAGAAAAGATCAATAGAAATCTTACTGTGATCGTTTTCCAATAAATAATACTCCATTTGGGAAAACTTGTGGGTAACAATTTGAATGGGAGAACTTGTTGGCAAGGTCATTGTCTGTGTCTATAATATTGTCAGTGTGACAGACAAATGTGTTTGTGCCGTGACAGATGGAAAAATAGAGACCAATATAAATGTTGTTGCGTTTTGGGGCTGTTTACAGCAAAATAAGATCGCCTGTCTCCTGTCCTGTGTTTTGATCAAACCAAAATAATAATCCTTGGCCATGTCACTTTCTCAATTATATTATATAATTTCAATTTGTGATAATTAATCCCCTCCCAACACTCCAACTTTTGTCCTTAATATGGGTAATACCTATCTTAACGTCAAAATAAGAAAATGTAACAATAAAAAAATGAAATAAAATAATCAAATCTGTTTAGGAGGGCAGGACAAGAAAGATGGCATAAACAATAGGCATTTTCTAAACGAAGGGTCTCAAATAACCGTTTTCTCTAATTGATAATTGGGGTGACATGCACCGTCATGGGTAGAATTTTATCAATCCGGACGCGGAACTTGTATTTATAAGTAAATTTTAAATTTATTTCTTTTTTCATATTTAACATAACATATTATATTATTTTTATTAATTTTTATTGTATTTATCTTTACAGGCTCAAATAGGGGTAGAAAGAACCACACAGATGACACAGTCTGTTGGGAAAGGTTCATCTATGGCGGTCAATGAGGAGGGAATTATGTCCCAAGTCTTGGGCAAGCACAGAGGGCACAATAAGGGAGTGGGACCGACACTGCCACGAAGGAATCGTTCAAGCGTTTCCACCTCATCATCTGCTTCGCAATCGGACGGGTCATCTTTGGTTAATCTGCCCCAGCATGTCCAAAACTGGCTGAACAACCTCTACATCGAGCAATGCAACATGTTCGACAACCAGTAGATCATGATGGAAGTCATGCCTGCGATGAATCCCAACATCAACTTCTTGCTAGTTAACCGTCCTCAACCGTTGGTTCTTCTGCCGCCTGAGCGAAACAAAGAAGACGAGGATGAGGACGATGATGCAGCTAATTTATGAGATTAAAATATATGTTTTTATTTTTCTTATTATCAATACTTTTTAGTATTTCTTGATTAACTTACTTTTTAAGACTTATTTTATTATTGTGTTGACTATTTTATATCAATTTTATTATTTTATTTTATTATTAAATTTTCTTCTAATTTATATACTTAATAATTAATATTATTAGGAAAGTATGGTAAAAAAAATAATTTTTGTGACGACAAATCTAAAATGTCATCACAAATAGTCTACATTACTAGCGATGACACTTTAGATTTGTCGTTGCAAATAATTTAAGACACGTCATCATCAATGACATATTCGACAGAACATTCGAGACGACTTATTCGCGACGACTGTCGTCGCTAATATATTTGTGACAACATTTTAAAACTATGTCGTCGCAAATATATTATTTGCGTCATAGTTTTTGCGACGATAAATTTACGACGACATGTCGTCAAAAATAAAATATTTGCGATGACAAATCAGTTATTTGCGATGACATAGCGTCGCCGTAAATGAGCTTTTTTATTGTAGTGTCATTCTATTTGTGATGATGTTTAACACTATGGTGCTTATTTCTGGGGAAACTCTAGAGTCTAG